TAAATATATATGTAATATATTTTATATTATTTGTAATATAATCTTCTTTATTCCGTATAATAAGAATAATTTATATTTTATTCGTGTTCTATTGAAATTGAGATGATTACTAACCACTGTATGGCTGCAACTCTATTTTCAGATGCGTGCTAAGAAGAATCAAGAAATGCGAACAAGCAATTTTTGTTCCAAATCCTACGCTGAACTTGATTAAATCTATTACTTTTGGCATCAATTCCTTTAATACATCCACATCGATATATTGGATACACTATACAGAAAAAAATATTAAAAACAATATTAAGACTATACCTTATCTAAGGTAAATCATAGATGAAATCATCTATGAGAATATACCTTTGTTATCGTATCCGACGCATAATGACTTCTCGCAACATTTGCTCTAAGATTATCGATTGCTTCCTGGGTCTCCGTGGTTGCGCCGCACACATTACTCAAATATGAAAGCTTAGGATTCTCCGATTCACCAATCGTTTCTAATAACGACGGTATCAGATTGACGAGTGACGGTTTTAATAGAACGCCGGCTGTAGATACGAGTTGAGATACTGTTTGCAATGATATAGATCTCACCATATCCACAACATGAACAATACCAATATTAAGTAACACGGGCAATATTGCTTGAATAACTTCTTTCCCCGCATTACCGTGCGATGAATCACAATGACGTATGCAAACCTGGGTTTAATGATATTAAATTTCCGAACTATATCATAAAGGCTAATCTATAATATGCTCTTTGCTTCATATTTCTTGTTTTTTATCACATTTTACCTTTTGCCTCTTATCCTATGTCTTCATTTTCTATCGCCTAAAGTAAAATTTAACAAATTTTGGAAGAGAAAAAACACATGAGAAGAAACACAATTGTCAATAAAATGATTACAAAGAGGGAAAAGGTAAGAAAGGGGAAGCAAAGAACACATTGTTAGTCTTAAGTTACAGAAATTCCATAGAAAATCCGTAGAAAATCTTGCACTCACCTTACTAAGTATTTTAGTGGTATTCGTCGCGGCTAATCGCGTGCCTTCGTGAATATCATCCATTACGCGAAACAGTTTTTTCCAGAGTTCTGGGCCGCATTCGGCAAAGTCGAATTGAACATTACTCCTTAAAAGATCTGCGAGAGCATTACAACAACTGATACGTACCCTCCATTCATTATTCGTTAGATTATCAGTTACATCAGTCAATATTTCTTTATGATACTGTTCGATCTATGGTGATATATAAAAAACAAATTTTTACGCTTACAACATTACGTACATTAGATATTGTTAACAGATATCAAATAATATTACTAACGGCTTTCGAGGTAGAAGGGACGACGGCTCGCCAAATGCTGACCATACTTTGCTGGATCTTTGGCGTCGGGTCGAACTGATACCTATACAATCGCGGAATAATGTTGGGTAGATATTTATTCAGTTCGTCTCTCGCGATATTGGCGATTGCTGCAAAACCGAAAGCAGCTCCCTTTTTGGATGTCCATATCGCATTATGATTTGCCAGATGCATGAAATAATATACAAGCTCAGGCTTCTGCAATTCTGTCGCGAGAGAACAGATTTCTCGATAAGTAGACAAGTTGCCTCTGAAAAATTACATTATTTCTTTAAGTATCTAATATCTTTTTGTTATTAATATAGCAAAATAGTGAATAATCGGTTTTTAATTTTTAATAAATATTTTTTTATCTTAAATTGTAAACTAACACGAAATATTCTATATTTTAATCTTACCCAGATGGGCTCTTTCCTAGTTGACCTTCTTCAAATAATTTAGTATCGGCAGTAACTTGTTGCACTGTTCTACGACCCTGTGTAAACTGATCTAATATATTGGACACTAAAGCCTCGCGTTCTTCTTGTTTGCTGTTAATATGTACCAAACTAAGACCTTTCGAAGCAATGTCTTGCACTATATCTGTTACAAGATAAAAGATCAAATCTCTTCTTCCGCTGAAAGATGATACAATTCACTGACACAATAATTTATATTTCTTACCACTGTCATCTGAAAGAAAATCTATAAATGCATGATGAATCGTGGACAATCTTTCCTTAATGCATTCTCGTTGAACGTTGTATTTTAGAAGTGCGAATAGCCATACACATACTGCCTTTAAAGAAATATCTTGCTATTAATAAAGCAGAAACTATTGTATTTCTTTTTTAAAATATGACGTATAAATACCTGTCGTGAGTTTGGATGAGGCACTTTGTATATATTAAATAATTCATTCAGCACATGTACTAATAATTCATCACTATCTTTACTGTATGGAATAACATGTTCGGCAGGTAAAATCGTCCAAGCATCTCTTGCTTCCGGAGAAGCTTGCGTTTGAACACAGCAAACCAAAGCTTCCCCCAGAATTAAATGGATTTCGATGTCTTTTGTCTGTTACATATCATATATTAGTATATACATAATAAAAATGTGAAATTTAATTATATATATATATATATACATTTATGCACCTCTTTGACAGTTGCTATGATTTTATTAGCAATGTCCACGGTATGCGGAAAATACTCGCCGACACACAGATATCCCAATGAAAGCGCAGCTTTTTCTTTCATCTAAGCAAAGTAAAGCTGTAAGACTATAGAGTATCAAATATAAAATATTTAACTACATACACAATATGTAATTAATTACAAACCTTGGTATTCAATTTGGCATTAGATAATACGGAAAAGAGCGTTTCTACTATCGCTTTCTTATTCAATTCATTATCGCCTTCTGCTGGTAAAGGTAGAGAATATGTTTTACCTAAGATACCAACAGCTTGAATAGCTGCATCCATCAATAATATCGCGTTGTCACGAAGATATGTACCTGAGTATAATAAACATAGTATTTCAAATATATTAAATCTGTAACATGATTTGATATACATAAATACATACATATTGCTTTCACAATATCATTATAAGTCGTCCAATTGCACAAATCCTCTTTATTTCCATTTCGTTGTTGTATTAAATTTCTTTCCATCATATAAGTCAATGCCATTAATGCACCATGCTGTGCTTCCAAATTTTTTCTATTCATAACGTTCATAATACTTGAAACATGTTTCTCAAATTCATTTCTTGGTAAGTATCCAGTAATAGCGGCGTATATTTTCGCGGCTAGTTGTCGTACGTCGTGTTTAGCAGAAGTGAGCAAAGAACATAGCCACGGCAGCTCCTTTTCATATGATTTGATTATATAATGTGGAACGGATCCAAATACTTCCAATAATGCATTCAAGGAAATTTGATCTATATCATGATAACAAAATATACTTAATTTGACACAATATATCATATAATTCTTTTGAGTTCAATCATAGTTAGATGTTGAGTGCAACATATTGCATAATTGATTCTTATTTATGATTATTTTTTACCTGCGGAAGAATGACTTAAAAGTAAAATCATGTCGAGATAATTATTTAATATCTCTGGTTGATCTTTGTATAATTTCTCCAAGTAACGTCCAATCAGAGGCGTATATTCGCATGGATGCTGTAGCGGCTCATTTCGCGCGGGAATATTAGCACTTCTGGCGAGGCAAATGCGAAAATAAGAAATAATCTGTAACAATATAAATTATGATTGTAATTATATATTTATGCAGCATTCACAAATCTAGCTTCCACTTAAAACTTACTTCGGAAAATGTGACAGTACTATACGGGAGTACTTGCTTATCCGTGTTTCTGCCACTACTCGCAGCGGGCATTCTCGACTGCATCTTCGAATAAACATAACTTACTAATTTCACAAACTCGGGCAACATTATCTTACTGCTAATTTGTTGATCGTCCTCATTTTTATGCACAACGCCATAAAGCGCTTTCATGGCTTCTGTACTAATCTCGTGTTTATTGTCACCACATGCTAATAACAAGAGATACCGAGATGGAGCGTCATCGGGTGGAAATACGGTTGCGGCATAATGCATTGCCACAAATCTATTCACAAAGTAATACACGTCACACACACACGATTATATATTAAAATTAATGTAATAAATAATCTATAATTTTCTATATACATGCCTTACGCTCGATTCTGGTGATTCAATGTGTACCGACAATAGAGCATTCATCAGAGCTATATTGCTCTCATCCTCTTTATTTAGCACAAACGCAGATGTTACGCAAATCAATGCGTCTCTTACCGTACGTCGCAGTTCACCGTCCGTCTTAAACAAAATTTGTTAAATTAAATTTGTTCAAATTTAATAATTATATATGTATATATGATTTCAATAATTATTACAGAATTTTTAAAACAATCGAATACTTACAGAAACAAGCGTGTCGAATAAGTTGTGTAACAAACTTAAATCTTTGTTTATCAGAGATGGTATTCTTTGACCAAGTTGTCCAATAACTGTATATGCCATCGGTTTATGCATGTCATCGCCTTCAGAGATCAATTTTATCATGCCATTCAAGATTACTCCAGCGACGCGAGTTAACGGTACTAGACTGCAGCTTAAAAGATATTTTTAAATCGAATAGTTTATTATATGTGTACTTTAAATAATGAGAGACAAAGTTATAATACATCACATGTGTAAAGAGTTTGCAATAAAACAAAAAATTCGCGAAATTAGTTATACGTTACTCGTATGAAGAGGATATAATCAATATTTTCTTTTGCGAAATAATTCAAAAAAGTTGAAAATCTACCAATAAATATTCAGTAAACGGTAATGCTATACATAAAAAAAATTAATAGCGACTGAATTATAAAACACTTACTGCTGGACGATATTTGATGTAAATTGCAGCGCCAATGATTTTAACTTTGCATTCGTGTTTTTTCCATAGAGTGAATCAAAAATAACCTGAGGAATAAATGAAAATTTTATTGCGTAACATCGTATAACTCCACTTTTTGCTTTAACTTGCCTGAATACACGGTGGTATAATGAATCCCGCTTTAGTCACTCGACAAAGATATTGCAAAAGCTTGAGACGAATTCGTGTGCTTGCAGGTAGCCGTTTCATTTCAGGTTTTACCTCTTTTTGCGTGGCTAATGCATCGGTACCCAAGAATAATGTGTAAAGCGGAGCTGCTAGTTGCATCGAAGACCAATCCAATGTGCTAAACGAATGAATACAGAAGAAATTACACAGCTCCGATCTATGCCAAACAAGTTCTGACAATTTTCACACGCACCCAATCATTTTTTTCAATTCTAAATCCGCCATATTAGCGATGCTGAATCTGGTATCCGCAGCCGCTACGATTAAGTGTATCAGAATATCTGTATCTGAGAAAAATCCACCAACGAGGAACTTAACGATGCCCAACTTTATCTGCTCGAGTTGCTCGGCTGTAGGCGGACTCTCGCCTATCACTCTTTTGAACGCGTAGTCGCTTAAGCCCGGCGGTACAGTGAATTGAGACCAATCAATCGGCTGACCCTGTTGATTTTCCGTTTGTCCCACAGATCTGGTGATATTTGTACATTGTAGTCAGAAACTATAAGTAAATATTTAAAAATAATGCTATTGTCCAGTGTATATCTCACCCATATGGCAACAATAATATGTCGAGCATAAAATTTATAAGCTGTTTTGCCACGTAAGGTTTGTCTTGTAAACCTAAGAGAGAGGCTCGTTTATCAGGATCTGCTGGTATGTTGATATGTCCTAATGCTGGCATTATGATTAACATTAAGCTGAAACAAAGTCTCGTTTACGATAACATAATCCAACATTTTACAATGTAATATAAAAATAATTTATGAAATCTTTTGATATTAAAAATAAAATTCTGTTAATCCTCCGGAGCTGACAAAATCTGTACAAACTGATTCTATAAAACTTAATTAGTTTATGATAATTAAAAGGCACTAATTAATTTCAGAAAAGCAGAATAACTTATATAAAAACAATAAATGCACTAGGTATATTATAATAAAAATAATCAAAAATTGTAAGATAAAAATATTAATCTTTTTGACAAAAAAACTTAATTGGATCCAATAGATCCACCGTTAGCTCCGAAAAATTTAAATATTAAAGCAATTAAGAATTAAGAAATTTGTAAAAAGCGAACCTGTCTTGATGAGACAACGGTTTTCCCTCAATAGCATTTAGTACACTTGGAACTAATTCCGCTTGCTTGTTCAACTCCATTCGAGGATATCCTAACTTTATGTATATTATCGTAAAGTTCTGCAATTATACAAATATACATTATGATGTATCTTTTTCTGATTTTGTAAATCATAAATTGATCCGCGCTGATAACGTACAATCACAAACGAACTAGCTGATGGATCTTGATATTGTAGGAGTAAAGCTTCAACAGGCAACTGTACTTGGGGTCTGCTCTTTATTCTTTTGTTTATATGGATCAATAGTTCCATCACTTTCTTCCTGACGCCTTCCTGCCCACTAGACAACTTGAGCAGCACAGGAGGTAAAAATTTGCAGACTGACGCCTGTAATTGCTCATCTGTCTCAGCAGAACCCAGACGGAGGAATACTCGCTCGAGTAAAACTAAATAAAACACAAGAAAGATGTGGCGTACAATTAATATTTCTCCAATCTTTCTTACAGAGTTGATCACAAGAAAAAGAAGAATCATGTGTATTGCATATAATGCAAAGTGAAATAGAAAATAATAGACATGTTCTTTTTAGCTCAACCTCTTGCATAGAGAGAGTTTCTTTATTTTTTTCTCTTTTTATAGAAGAAAAAAGAGAAAAGATGAACTTTGCAAAAAGTTCAAGGCCCAGTGCCATCAATGTAAGATTAACTTTAATCTCGATTTAACTTACCGTTTATCTTAAGATTCTTAGAATTAGAAAAAGGTAAAGAATAAATTGAGAGTTTGATGGAACCAGGCTTAAGAAGAACAGATCTTGATTGCAGTCTGATTCACATTCACAACGGAAATATTTCATTGTTTATTAAAGTTAAATAAGAGATTTGTCTTCTGAACTAATATATGTTTTTGGAACTTTAAAGTGAGATTATATATGTTTGATATTTGGCGAAAGAGAGAAAGAGTTCAAATACAGTTTAGTGTAGCAATAAAAAAAGACCTGACTCGTGTAAATAATACTTGTGAGCATGAATCCACATGAATCAGATCACAGCCCTCATATATCGATCTATACTTATTTCAGCGACGTAATCGAGCGTCATCGAATGTGAGATCATTTTGAAAAAATGCTGACATCATGTGTTGTTGAGTCGGAATTGTCAGGGATGTCAATGGGATTTAAATATCAGTATCAAGATTTGACAGTAGCGGACACGTGTTCAGGATGGTGCAAGGAAGGAGCATCGAGGATTCCATCGAAAGGATGGAAATCCATAGGTTCTTCCCGAGGTCGTCTCCGGTCATCTCTCTAGCATGACAATCAGGTTTAAGTTGACCCCATTCTCTATTCCACAGAACAAATGACATGACCCACGACCCGGTTGTCGATTACGTCGCGCATAAAGGAGATCATCCCTCTCTCTTTCTCTTTCTCTTCCTCTCTTTTTTTTTCTCTCGGGATTACTTACTCAGCTCGTCCGTAGCCGCTGCCATTTTGAAAAAGTCTGTAAAGAGAAAGCGAATCCGGACGGCGAGGAGTTGCCGTCCGTGGAACCGCGTGCGATTCGATGGCGAAGCGATGAAAGCTCGATGTCGAGATCGTTAAACCTGTGACTCTCCTTCCTCTTTTCGTTCTTGTATTTCTTTTTTTTTTCTCTAACGTCGACGTGACCGTAAACGTCGATCGTCGTGTAGCACACGACGCGCCGCGTGTATCGCACCCCTCTCACGACTTCGACGTCGTTTTACTTGGGGGCGCTATAAATTTCGGACTGATTGTGAGGTTAGGAAAGGAGAGACGAATGAGCGACACTTCGCGATGTCGTTCACGGTATTCCTTTTTATTTTCTTTTTTTCGTACGACAGTCGCACTCGTCGAGTAACGCTAGAACTAACTGCGAATTTCTATTAGATGTTGGAGAATGTGCGGTGTGCAAAAAACTGACATTCTTGGCAATCCTTGGTAAATAAGCATGTCAGAAATGTGCGAGATGATTTTCATATTTTGGGGCATCTAATAGTCCGACGTGCTCTCGAGAGGAATAATAATCCTCGTCGATCTTCCATCGAAGCTGAAATCTTGTTTTCACGAGCGCGATCAAAAATCGCTGGAAAAAAGATTCTGGCAATTACGGATTTGCTCGGAAAATGCTTGGTTGAGGTTAGAATGTCACCATGGTTGCAGGCGCGGCTGTAATCGAACGAGCGATAAGCGGATCATGCGCGATCACGTGGCACGATTATGATTTTTTTAATAATTTTTCAGGACGCTTGAAAAGGAAAAAATTTCGCGCGAGTTCAGGAAAACGACCTTTATTAATTTAAACACAATATAATAGAATTTTCCCCGAGAACGATTATATCTCTTTCTTTTCTTTTTTGTCGATAACTGCATGCAACGGAGATCTGTCTTGCTGCGGTTTTAAGCTTGATTGTCGCTTTATTAATGTACTTATGTCTTCAATTATTATATTAATGTACTTACGTCTTAGAAATGTAATGTAGATTAATGTAGTTCAGTTTAATTTACTTTATATTTTTTTCTACTTCTAAGAATTAGAAAAGAATGAAGAGTAAGTTATATAAACATGCAGAGATTAAAGTTAATCTCGATTTAACTTACTTTTTTATTTTTATTTCTAAAAATTATATAAGAGAAAAATTAAATTAAATTAAATAAGAATAGAGAGAGGGCTACGAGCCAAGATCTTGATGCTATATTTTTAATTAACAAATAGAAAGTTTATTAAAACGTTTCGACGCCAATCGGATTATTCTCAATGTTAAACAATATAACAAATTTTTAAATTCAAACGTATTAACTATTCTGTTTGTTATTTAATATAGCTAATATAGCATCAAGATCTTGATTAGCTCGTAGCTCTATTCTTATTAATTTAATTTTTAAACAGATTGTTAATTAGAGTTAATTACGTTAGAAATGGACATTAATTTTCCCGAGCTGACGTGAGCTTATTAGATTCACTCAATTCTTTCAGTTACAACTGCAAATTTGAATTATTGTTATTAAAATAAATTTAATAATCCATTCTTTTTTATACAAGTTATATATGTCATTTTGGTTCTTTAAAATTAATTAATGTCTTTTAATCAACAGTTATTAAATGGATTTCACAAACCTAGTATCAGTAAATATAGTATTATAGATTTTGTTGTCAGCTCCGGAGGATTAAACGTTTTACATTCATTATCATCGTCGTATACCTCTGGCTTCGAACACTTCAGTGGCAAGGAGAAACGATTCCATCTTTTTAAACCTACGATAGAATCAATTTTAAACTTTTCCGCCGAGATGGATCTCTGAAGTTGTCCGCAAGTCAAAACCGCGTTATTTTTTTTTATGTGTATCGACATACGTAAATTGACAACGGATACGTAAACAAAGAAATCACATCTCCCAGCAAAAAGGAAAGAGTTTCCTTCGCTATATTTTTCAGAGAATGTTACATGATGTTCAAATTTATGTGCTATCAGTGCCGCTCCAAATTCGAATACGATTTCAAGTGGCTCGAAGTTAGTCGCGCGAACGTCGGGCCAATGAGCACCACGTGTTTGGTGATACGAATCTACTGACTGATTGTCGCCTCCCCTCCATTCTGATCACGCTTGTTTATTGACCTTCAGACCTGTCTTTCGCGAGATAGAGGTCAACTTGCGCAGAGACTTCTGCCTGATCATTCGAATGCGAACGCACGACATTTGTTTTTAACGTGTTCACTAGTGTTCATGCGATATCATTTTGCACTCCATCGTCAACGTAGGTAGGGAATCGTCGAAGTGCGTAGGAAAGTCCTCAGACGTCGCTTTTGCCACGTGCGTGCGTGCACGTGTGTGTTCGTACATCGGCAGGTGTTAATCAAGTTTTTAATCGTGTGCGACCGATTTGCGAAAATATTCTTGTCGAGTTGTTTCTTGGTGTGAATAATATTTGTATACTTGCGCTGTTTGCGCACGTTTTTTTTTCTTTTTGTGCATGGATGGATAATTATATTAAATGTTATTTGTATCGTTATCATTATATACGTATCATTATATTGTTATGCTGTATACGTTACGTGACCGTTTCGCATTTGTATTTGTGATATCAACTGACTTATTTGACCTTTTATTCGTTCTTTATTAATTCTCCGAAGCTGACAATCGGTCCATATTTTTAACTCGCTCAATTATATCACTCCAAAGTTGATAGAGGATCTATTAGACCTTATATTCTTTTTATTACATCTGCAAACTTGAATTATTATTATTAAACTTATTTATTATCCAATCCTGCAAATTTACAATTATTTAAACACTAAAGATCCAGCTTGACCATTTAGGGCTTTTATTTCTGATTTGTTGTGCATTCACATCATGATCTTAAAAGATAACATATTTAATACTGCTTAGTATTAATTCTTTTTTATATATATTACTCTGGAGTTGATGGTGTGTTTACTAAACTTACTCAATTATATTCCTTATGTTATGTTATAAATTTTAATTATTATTATCAAATTTAATTCAATCTTATATATATATATATCACTCAAGTCTATTGAATTTTCTTGTTTATATTCTTTATGCTACATCTAGAAATTTGAATTATTGTTATTGAACTTAGTATTTATTCTTTTTTTATGCAAGTTATCTCATTTTTGTTTCTCAAATTAATTAATGCCTTTTTAGTCATCAAATCTCATAAATCCAGCATCAATAACTGTTAGAGATTTTGACATTAGTTTTAAAGGATTAATGTAAATCATAATTCTAAATATATTCTAAATCATAATCTTGTAAATTATAATTACTAATCTTTATTCAGCTCCTTAAATAAATCGATTTATATTGCTTTCTTTATATATGAAAAAAATGCGTGGTACGTAGTGATATGTATTGCGTAATTGCGTTAATGTCTTTCGCAAAATATATTTGTATATGACAAATTAAAGTGATAATTGTTAACATAAAACGTTAATAAAGAGATTATTAATTTATTACTATAAATGTTTGTATTTTGGTATTATAACATTTTATATATTAATGTAAATATTAATATGCATTATGAATAATCTATTATAATTTCTCTTATATTTTCTTTTATAATTCTTTTATTTGATAATTTTTCTTATTTTGATTAAATTATTCTGTAATAATGCTTTTTATAAAACATGTAAGTACTAAGATTTTACCAATATCTGTTTTTTATAACTTCTATACAACGTTAGAGAGATGTATATATATAGAAACTTCGATAGAAATGTATGTGCAATATCATAATCTACGTGTTACGCACCTAGTAGTTTTTATTTTATATATCTGTTATAGGTAGTACGTATAAAGGATTTTGCTTATACATAGTAAAATGTCGGCAGATGCTGCGATATCATTTTCCTAATAAATTGTCCATACCAATCAACTAAAAACGTTCAATTAACTCGCATTGGCAATGGCTCGGAGAATAAGACGCTTCATTCACAGTACAAGAAAAATGGTCTTAAGACTTTTTAGATGCTTTCTACAAATTATCCGTAAATGGCTCTTTAAAGGATTGGATGCTACAGTAAGTTCTATACGCGCGAACATGCAATACAATGTGCGGAATTGTGAGACCATATTCTTGATAAAAAGTCTTAGTGATACGATTGTTTGATGGCAGTAGAAGATGGTACTTGCCATATTCGTTACATATTGACTGGGGGGCAAGTCTTATGGTAGAAAGCAGTTGTCTCTGCGGTACTACGATATTGTAATTCTAGTAGTATGTAGGGTAGTTGCGGCTTTTATACGTGCTCACACACCAGAAACGCTGTAATATAATATCGTGCACGCTTGCTAACTGCTTTGTGCCAATATTTTATATTAAGGCTTATACTCTGCCGGCTAAGCACATACTCGTTTCCTACGCTCTAGGCGTATCATCCCTTTGGAAGCTCTCTGACAGATCTGATCTCGAAAATTTGGTAAATTTATTCCATCTTCTACCTCTCACTAATGTTCGATTCTGTCAATTACAAGCGATATCTGTTACATTTTTAATACAAAATTCTCTTTATAATTTCAGATAATTAAAAACATGCATCCTTTGCCATCACGCCCCACAACCCATGACCAAATAAGAGTTCTAACTGTGAACAATGGAGAACATTTAGATGGGATATTATATAGATTAAAGAAAGGTCTTTAAAAAGAAATTTTGCTCCTCTTAAAATGATCTTTTAAACTGTATTTTGACAATTTTTGTTGCGGCATGTTTTTGCTGTAAATAATTTTATGTTACTCGCAGGTTGGATAGTTGAGTTTCGACTTGGAGCTTCCCTTCTTGGAAAAGCACTTGAGGTTTTTATAAACCATCCATTATCGACCGATAAGAAATTCGAGAGGCATACTTACTATCAATTGAAATGGATTAACGAATCGGCGAGCATACATTTAACTTTGTCAGGGTCATTCCATTATTATGTCACTAACCAGTAAGTGGATTAAGAATATTACGAGTAAGGTAAAATTTTATTTCTTAATAACAAGATACGTCTGTTTTGCAGAGTCGAAGGGAATATAAAACCTGTTGCATCCGGATACTTGCTGGTGGATCCTGAATTGAAAATAGGTGAACATGGGGAGAAACTATCTCTAGATTGTATTCAAGTCCAAACAGTTCTAGCAAAGAGTTTAGGACCTTTTTCTACATGGGAAAGTAAATTACTGGTAGCACGAAATTCTGGATATAACACAATTCATTTTACACCGATTCAGGTAATATTCGCGCGATTGATGTATAACGTAAGAATATAATATTTGTAATAAACGCGAGTTTTGTTTTAGGAATTAGGACGTTCTAAATCGTCGTATAGCCTGAAGGATCAAGCTCAACTTAATCCCGCTTTTAATGATAACAATAAGATAGTTACTTACCATGATATCGAAACATTTGCAAATAAAATGCGTAATGAATGG